TTAATGCTGGGTTTACGTGCGCGAAGAATCGTAACAGAATGAAAGGCTAGTGCAATGGAAAACTCGCAACAAAGTTTGAACGGAAGAATTTCACCTGTGGATTGACATTAAAAGTCCTCTATAGGTGGTACACTCTAAGAGTTCGGTTGAAGTCAACAGGTCCAAATGCAGACAAGGCTCACAGACAAGGTCGTGGCTAAGTCAATCAAAACACCAATAACTCATTGTTTGGACATGGGATGTGCGATAGACTCACCTCCACGTGGTGCACCTTGGGCAACGTATACTCATACGGCAAAAAAGTCTGTTAAACGGCAGTTGACTTTTGACTTCAAAATACCATCACCCCACTGTATGTCATATTCGACTACTTTCACAGTACTCACCTCACCTCTTTTCTGCCTTTGTGTCTGTCTCTTTTACATCTTTGAAACACTCTTCTGTTCCTCCCCCACCCTCTCGACTTTTTTCTCTTTGATGTTTCTTCCTCTCTGTGGAGCCTGAAGTCAACTAAAGGGCTAACGATAACTATCAAAACGCCTGCCATTTGATATAAATAAATAAATTGTTTGGACATTAAATAAGAGCAGAAAACGAAGACGTGAGAGGCTGTTAAGCGTACACCGCTGTTTTCAAAGTAGTACAATATCCCTCATGTCATGGAGCAAATATCCCTATGCGAGAAACTCGGTCAATAAAAGGGACGCAACAGAATTCAATTTTCTCATTTGAAAACCTCCACAATACCATCGTTCTAAACAAGCTAAGGGTTGAAAACTCTTTCAAAATTTCGCTTGACAGCTTTCAAAAATTTCATAAAAACCACCTATTCAACCAAAATGAAGAACAAAGGTACACACCAAAGCGTATATTATATATCGAACATCAACTTTTTTATGAATAAATGCATAAATTACCCGACAATGATTAGGAACTGATTGGGCGTAAAGAGGGGGGAGTGGAAGGGTCTCTCCATAGCGCGAGGAAGTTGTCAAGAAATTTTGCCGATGAAGAGGGGAAATTGCAGTGGATTGGGCAGCCATGGTTGCCGAATTGTAGAAATGACCCTTTGGAGCCGAGAATTCGTCATCTGATGTTACTGAAATAGAACGAAATTGCCTCATAACAGACAATACAATAGGACAGCCAACTCGTTAGATGCACACCAGAAAAAAAAACTTTAAAGTGAAAAGTATAAACGTAGAAAACTGAAATATGATTTCCTCGCCATCTGGTGGTAAACTCGAAGCCAAAAACACATTCTCCATCTGGTTCAGTGAGGAATTTTAAATCATGTGTTCACATAAATAAAAAGTGGAATAATTGCCTCTGGAAAAATTACCCACCTTTACTAATTGCCGTTCACATTAAGTGAATTGCAGTGAGCTATGAAATGTTGTTACTTCTCAACTCTGATTGTTTCACCTGGACTTAAAAAGTACAAATAATCAATTGGATAATGAATTAAATGATAAAGATCGAGGCAACATCGCAATATTCCCGAATTCAAGTCAATTAGGACCCACAAAGTTTAGACTCCACTGCACACATTTACCAACCACTCACCTGTTCCTAACCTGATTTCTCAATAAGTAAAACCTACAAAAGCTTGACAGTGGAGTCATAGACATTGGCAATAACTTCCTACTTTAAAATATTATTATTATTTCAAATGACAGGCCTTATGATATTTATCATTAGCCCTTAAACTTTGACTTTAGCTTCCCCCAAGGGTAATGATATTTATCATTAGCCCTTAAACTTTGATTTCAGCTTCCCCCAGGGGTCTGCCTCATCATTTATTTCAAATGGCAGGCTTTATGATATCTATCATATTAGCCCTTAATAGCTTTGACTTCAGCTTCCCCCAAGGGTGGGGGGTACATATGTTGACTTCAGCTTCCCCCAAGAGGGGGGGGGTACATTTAAAGCAGTTAATTAATAGCAGTTCATTAGCAGTCTTCTTGCTTACCTTAATCTTTGACTTCAGCTTCCCCAAGAGGGGGGGGGGGTACATTTATAGCGGTTATTAACAGCAATTCATTAGCTGTCTTCTTGCTTCCCAGTATCTCTGGTTTTCCGAATTTTGACTTCAGCTTCCCCAAGGGTGGGGGGTACATTGGAGGGGTATCATTCGCAATTTAACTTTGACTTCAGCTTCCCCCAAGGAAGGGTGGGGACATTTATAGCAGTTAATTAATAGCAGACATATATAGCAGTTAATTAATAGCAATTCATTAGCTGTCTTTTTGCTTCCCAGTATCTCTGTGTTTCCGTCGTTGTCTTTAGTTGCTTCCCAGTATCTCTGGCTTTCCGTCCTTGTCTTTAGAGTGGGACACCGAATCAGGTGGGTCTTCTCCATTTCCTCTTGATGAACACCGAATCGGGTGGGTCTTCTTCATTTCCTCCTGTAGGTTACATAGAAGGCATGTGGGTTGAGTGTATACTCCCAATCTGTGACTTTTGACTTTAAAATATTGAAACGTGAAATCCGATTAAAAATATTACTTTCAAGAAGTCATTGCATGTTCAAACTCGTATCAATTAAATGAAATGAAATGTAATTCGAACCCCAAAACTGATATGATGATCTGGATTCTAACCATTTCGTGATGAAAACTGACCGTTTATAAGGAATTAATGAAACGACGAATATAACTAAATAGATGTACGTGAGCTAAGTACTACTTATTGATAAGTTTATAATAAAAAAGGATCAATTTGCAAATAGGACCTACCAATAGATTTAAAAGTTGTTGCCGGAACTGGTACGAATCGAGAAGACTGAATGGGTCCTTGATTACATGGCATTCCAACATGATAACAATCAGTGTAGAGCTTCGACTAAAGCGGGAAAAAAGCTCTTTATAAAACAATCGCATTACTTGAGGATTTAAATAGTATCTAGGACAAAATAACACACCGAGCCTTCAAAGAAGTCTGAACCATCAGCCATTAATGACTGAACTCCGTCCACCTGACATCTAGAATTGGCATTCGCAATTGAAACGAATGCCCCCATCTGGTTTGGAAGACACTTTGAGGATGATACAATGTAATCTCCACTTAGAGGAGGGGCTGGAAGAGGTGACCAAACTCTAGCCTGCAAGCTAGACTCTTTAGAACCCTTTCTCAAAGTTGTGTTATCCTTAGGTACCTTGACTGATCTTTCAACGCATTCCGAATTGCTGTAGGGACTTGAAGAAGCTTGGCGAGATTTTCGGAACAATGAACAGACATCGGGCAAACAGAGGAACGACTTTCGTCGATGCCGTGAATAAAAACAGAGTCCAATTAGAACAACAATTCCAGCGATCATCAGACTGATAAGCACTAACAAAACCATGCTAGAGGGGGTTCTTCCATTAGCTCCACCCCACTCTAAACCGGGCCGATAGAGAGGACCCACAACACTGCCGCCAGTGTACTCATTAGGTGGCTTTCTTGGGTGGGATGGCATCCTACCTCGAATGTTAGAAGCAAACTGTGGAGGTGATCTACCAACTGCTAGGCGGATAACTTGCGTTGCTTGTTGGGGCGGTGTTCCTGTATCCCGAACAATTAATTGCAACCAATGTTCACCAATGTCATCCTCACTCATTCTACGTTGAGTTTTCAAAAGTCCTTTGAATGGATCTAATTTGAATAGATCACCATGCATAGCTGTCTTAGCAAGTAGTGAGCTATCCTCTCCGGGTATAGAGGGGATAACAGATCCAAGCTCAAACACAATTTTTCCATTCTCTTCATTTGAATCCTTATCATTTGCATTGACACTGAGTATTTCCGTGTCGGGCGTTTCAAGATAAGATAGTGTGTGAACATAAGTAGTAGCAGTTGCAGGTTTTGGGAAGATGATTTCCGGAGGGTTATCATTCACATCTACTACTGAAACGGTAATAGTAGCAGTAGATGTATGTTTAGGATGCGACGGACCAAGATAATCAGATGCTTGAACAAGAAATCGGAAGGAGTCCTCTAATTCACGGTCCAATGAACGAGTGACATTAAGAAAGAATCTTCCATCAGGAGTTGCATCAATGACAAAGGGGAGTTCGAGCCTTCCATGATTTGGATTGATGAAAAGATTGATTATATGTTTTGGCGATTCACTTACTCGAGGAGGGTTAGGAAGAATATCATGATAAATTTCTCCAACTTCTGTTCCTGCATCAGCATCCTGAACAAGAATTTCACCAATTCTACGTGGAGCTGGTAGGTTTTCCATGACGGAAAAGCCCATTTGGGGAAGAATAAAATAAGGTGAGTTGTCATTTTCGTCTTCAATGGCGACAGCTAGCAGAACGTAAGAGCTAAGAGCCTTCGGCTGGCCCCAATCTTGCGCTTCTATGAAGAGATAGACTTCGTCTCGAAGTGGGGAGGATTGTTCACGATCAATTGTTCGAGTTGTTGTTATATCACCATTCGACTCCAACTATACGTACAAGGAAAATAGAATTGTTACTATGAACCCACAAGGATAAGAAGAAAATGAACTCCGGTACATCGTATCGATTTCAAATTTTGAATGACTGCCAAATAAATTTTCGTTAATCATTTAACTAAGAGTGGTTAAATATATTAAATTTCCCCTCCAGATCATTACCAACTGTCTCTTGGACATAACTATTTCGATATTGGGGCTGTTAATACGTTCACCGCAGTTATTGAGACGTTTGATTGCCTGATGTGACCTCGAGCTTCCTTATAGAGCCACTACATGCGGCTGTATTCTAATTAAATAGTGATTAAGCAAATTGATTGGCCATTGAATGAGCGCTGATCGGCACCAACCTCTACAATCGACAACATCTTAAGCCATTATATGAACTTATTCCATGTATACATGTCTGACAACAGCAGAGTTTAGAAAGCCAGGTCACTTCATCTCTGACGCAGCTATGCTTGTCATTATCACTGTTCCGATAACTACTGGCTTATAACTTTCTGATAATTTTACTACCATCTGTAAATCAATGCAAATTTGGTTGAACTATTTCCACTTTCCTCCCTATTGCTAGAGTCAACGACCTAGTCAGATACAGCTTTAATTCTACTTTCTCAGGAACTAATTTTGGAAAGACGTACTCAAGAGACGTAGTAGATTAATAACTAATTACCTTAAAAAGATCAGACCTACTAACATCCGAACGAATAGTAACTGGAGACGACTCGAGATCGAATTTTCCTTCTGGATATCGACCCGTTTGCTGGTTTGTTGGTGCTGATTCTGGACTAATCCGAGGTAGACTCCGATCTTCTTTCAAAATTCGGAAAGTTACTCTACCATTCTCTCCAGCATCCTGATCAACCCCTCTCAATGATGCCACAATAGTTCCCGGGGGTCTATTCTCAGGTATAGTCACCAAAATAACTGGCACACCGGCTTCATACGCAGTCATTAATGGATGTTCGACAAGTGGATGTGCTTTCTGCCAAACCGGCGGGGATTTCTGAAGAATATCAGCCAAACGACTTCTAGGAATTGGTGAAAGTACACTAGACTGATATGGTCTAAGTGTAGATGGAATTCGTGTACGTACCGTTATTTCGGGTACATTGTCATTTTGATCGAGTATCTCAACCTAAAGGTTATATGAAACGAATTCAATTACACTCCTTCTACTGATAAAATATTAGTAGATTATTTGTTTCACCTCTACAGTGGCGGTTGAAGTTTTGGAAGGCGTGCCATCATCAGAGCAACGAATAATGACAAATTGCCTTTGTTCTCGTTCCCTGTCTAGCGGGGTCTGTGTTTTGAGCACATACTCAACCACGCCAGCTGCCACATCTGTCTGGGTATTGTGAAAAAGTGTGTAGTTGCTTGTGTGGCTGCCCAATTCACATGTGACCACGCCCCCAGGAGTGGAAAGAGAGGACCTCGAGTGGGCACTGCTGTACTGAAAATTAGACATCCAAGGGTCCTCTAGAGGCGAGTGAGGTAGCTTTGAGTGACTTGCGTCGGCGTCAGTGACTCTGATTAAGGCAATAAAATGATCCGGGGAATCGTTCTCCTTGACTTGCTTGTGTTTTACTGAATCGCTGTTCACCACGTAGTCAATGCTGATTTGCGGCTTTTCGTCGTTCAAGTTAATTATCTGTAAAATGATAAGGCGAAAGTTTCAAGAGTTCTAGGGACAATTAGAGAGGGAGAGAGAGATAGAGTATTATATCAGTCACGACTTACATTGATAGTGACTTCGGTCATTGATGGGGAATTTTTCAGGGATTTTCTGGTGATACTTGCAGCCTTTCCCGTTGGATCATCAGCATCAGGATTAGTAGCAACAATAGCGAAAACAAATCTCCTCTTCGTCTCATAATCCAACGGCCGGTGAACGAAAATCTCCCCAGTTTGTTCATTCAAACAAAACCAATAAGTGGGTAGAGCTTGAAGACTAACCAGACGCTCAGGCGATACATGAGATCCAAACTGTGAGGCAATTTCCTCATCGGTGAGCAGACGTACAGGTGACTGTTCAAGGAGTTTAGCGTCAGAACCAAATCGATCATAGTCGGGCCACCAGGAGTAGCGAATACGCGCGTTGGGTCCTTCATCTTGGTCATGAGCTGTGACCTTGAGAATATGTGTGGTTTCAAACACTTGACCCTCCTCAACGCTTTTCTCGTAAGACGGATGCTCAAATATGGGATCATGGTCATTTGCATCAGTTACCTAAAACAAATGAAAGTAGATTTAGTATGTGTTTATTTATTAAGATATTATATATTAAACCATATAGATAAATAGATACATTACTTTAAGTATATAATTTGGGAAAGAATGGAGAAGCAGTTTCTCCAATCAGGATTCCGGAATATTGACTTCTTTACCCCGATTTTTTTAAATGATGCTTCAAAGAAACGCGGACTGAATCTGACCCCAGCGTTGGAGATAACGTTCCAACCCACACTTCCTTTTACAGTACTTAAAATAATCGGAAATTAGGCACTAGAACACCTTATCGGTTACTGCGATAGATGCTATAAACTTATTACGTTGCCAACCTGGAGTGTGCGATAGACTTACATCCATGCGGTGCACCCCGAGCAATGTGTTCTCGTACGGCAAAAAAGTCTATCGAACCGGCAGTTGACTTCTAACTTCAAACTACCATGACCCCACTATATGTCATATTCTTACCTCATCTTACCTTTTCCCTGCTTTTGCGTCTGTCTGTCTCTATTACATCCGTGAATCATTATTCTGTCCCCTTCTCTCGACTTTTTGTCACTTTGATGTTCCTCCTCTCTGTGAAGCCCGAAGTCAGCTAAAGAGCTAATAATAGCTTTCAAAACACCTGCCATTTGAAAAAAACATTGCCAACGTTGAATCGCATTGCTTTCGCTTGAATTCAGTTGAGGTAGAGACAGTGCTCAATACCAAGGTCTAAATAGGGTCGGTATTGATTTTCTTTGGCCATTAAAGGCCATAAGTTCTCCTTATTTTCCCTTGGATCATAATGGACAAGAGAGCGAGACATTAGCAAAGCCTTTTATTGAAGCGTTGTCCCGAGAGCTCATGGAGGAATTCGCTGAACATGATCTTTCCATGCAAGGGCTCTACACGAGCAAAACCATAAAACTAGGCTTCTGAAGTGTCTAGACGAGCCTCCTCATTTATGAACCAACTATGCACCTACGGCAATAAGCAGACATTTTGCGTGTTTGACACTTGCAAGCAATCTTAATTTGTCCAAAGCCCCACCAACGCACAATACCGCTTATCATAATTGAAAATCGCAGTAGGACGGCCGTTTTAAGGCACACGAGGTAACCGGTGATGTCGTCCAGTCAAATTAAAAATGTAGCCTTCGTGAAGAAAAAGTGCACCCGATTTCAATCCACCTTCGTGAATAAGCCAAACGAGGTATTTTGTTGCATTAAACACTACTACTACGCGTGAAAATAGCCAAACAAGAGCTAGGTAAATCAATTTTAGCGGATGTGGTGTAATTCATTGAAAGAAAAATTTCTATCTTATGCATTATTTGGACTTAGGGTAGATATTTTCCAGTACAACACATTGTGAGAGGAAATATAAAGCAGATAAGGTATTCCAAAACAGTAACATCTCATCGTAGCACTAATTCCGAGTAGTTTCTGTGCTCTAAGAAATGCCATCCTTGCAAGTGGGTGTCGCTTTCAAAGCACATGGATGAAATGCGAAGTACTCATTAGCCAGAAAAAAAGTTGAATTTTATCAATTAGGTGATGATGGAATAAAATTTAGGAATCAGAACTCTGAACAAGATAGTGATTTGTTAATAAAGAATTAAAATAAAAGATAGGTAGGAAAACACTCATCATACGGTTAGACTTGTGTCCTCAATTTTTTAATATAAAATTTATCTCGCAGTTTTTAACAGACAATGAGTCTGCTTCTTATAAAAGCCCGAAGTCAACATTAAGAGAATGTGTAATCACTTATTTTCGTATTTCAAAGAACTTAATCTGCAACTCGCTCTGCGAAGCTTATTTGACAGCCTTTGACAATTAAATTGCAGCCAATGAATGAATGCAATTTATTTTTTCTCCATTTTCCATTTTAGCAAAATCAGGCAACAGCTAATCTAATTAACTCCTCCATCATAAGAGATTCTGTATTTGCAAAAAAACAGGCGAAAACAAAAAACTGTTGTTCAAATCCGGTGACAGTTAAAACATCCATTAAAACAAAAACACTAAATCGTTTTGACACTGAGGTGAAGAAGAAACAGCCATCCACCAACCACCAGAAATTGGAATTTCTCTCCAACCTAGTCGAAGAATCGGAAGAAAAATTAGAAGATTAAATTACTCCAAAAGCGACTTAGAAAGCACATTATTTTAAATCCACTTTTCTACGTTAATTAATTGTAAGAACCTATGGCTGTGTGGTGCTAACCTGATCGAACTAAAATTACTTTGTAAAAATGTATGCACTTTTACTAAAATCTAAGATTTAGCTTTCTTAGAGTGTATGCAATCTATTATAAAAAGTAGAATTAGAATCAATTTCGACGCTCTTAAAGGCTTATGCTAAGACAATAGGTTCCGTAAATGCAAAGATGGCAATAATACTACCACTTAATATTTTAAGATGAGTAAATACTGATTTAAGTGCTTTTCTATCACCCAGCAGAAAACTGGCTATTAGCGTTGACTCGCTGCTGATAGCAAATAACAACCGAATATAGTTGAATCTGAACTGAATGGAATACTCACTAAAGGTGGAATCGCGAAGACCTTGTGAACAAATCGACCACCATCACAAGACGAGCTACGACAAAATCGCTGGCTACAAGATCAAGGTCACCTAATTACATGATCCACTTTCCTTTTCTTTGACTTGTCCAAAGCATAAGCTTGACGAAGCATATTAAATTAAATGGGCTTAAGATTATACAATTCAAAGTCTATCAAGGCACAGTACACTGCAAACTCTTCTTTTCTTACCAAGAATTAGCCAGTATCGTTTAACCTATTCAATCACTGAAAGTACATCGTTGACATACAAAAACTAGGAATTTTCTTTGATGTATCACAAATACCAACATAACTCACTCTAATCTGGACGGAGAGAGTTCCGGTTCTTTGATTAGGCGACCCCCCATCAATTGCCAGAATATCGAATTCAAACAATGATAAAGATTCTCTGTCCAAAGGAGCGATAAGGAGTAGATCCAATCCGGTGATGAGTGCATCTGATTCAAATTGTGTCACGCCAGTCAACTCTCTCTTTTGAACCTCAAGTTTGAAGAAACGCTCGGGAGAGGTGGAGGAAGATAATTGGAACCGTGAATTAATTCCCGAGTCTAGGAGGTAATTCTGAACGTTAAAAGGTGCACTGTCGATGTCCACTGCCAAGGGTAGGACTAATCGATGACTCCCAGGAATAGCGGCTTCTGAGATATCGAGCACCAGAACGGGGGTATGGGTGTTAGAGGAGCTTCCGTATTTAGCGTTTGAGTAATGACCATGCTGCGAAGTATGACTAGGAATCTTGAAGAGGGGAAACAAAAAGTGACGAGTCAGCGATGAGGTTATAGATATAGCTGAAGGGACAAAGAAAGGCGCATAAATCAGTGTGGTATGGATGAATAAGAAATGCGTACGGCCTCATAACCACAAACTGTTATCACTCAAGGAGAATCGCTGTGTATCTTAATTGAAGTTTAGCATGAAATAGTGCAGCAGTTTGGGGGTGTGTATATCGAATTTAGGCTGACGTCATCCCCACACAGATGCTCAGACAGACAAAGTAATTATTTTTACCCCCCCCCCCCCCTCCCCCGACGCATATTCTACTTATAGCTTCGAACCAATACTCTTCAACGAGACAGACGAGTAAAGGAAGGCTCAGATTTCAATTTAAATGTCTTAACAAGATGAAGAAACGGGTACAAAGCGGTTAGGTTCTTAAGTGTTCTACAAAGGAGTCACTTTTTAATATTACCAATACACCCTTGTCACTAAAAAAAATCTAATGAACTTTAACCCCCCCCCCCCCCCCACCCTCTCCCCAACACACAAAAGGGCCGCTTTCTTCAAAGGAATATTGGAAAGGGGGCAAAATAGTGTAATCTCATGGGAAAACGTAAAAATCCCATTCATTGAAAAATATGTTGGCCTATTTTTCGGTCATAGAACTAGCTACATCTCCTTAAGCTTGCTTCTTTAACTTCCCCCCCAAGGGAGGAACGCAGAAATGATACAAAATAAGCAAAGGGAAAACATTTCAGAAAGTCGTAAAATATTCCCGATATTCTAATTCGACGGAAATACAGACGATTTCACGCGTATATTTTCATCTAGCGGTCTATGATAATCAATGGTCCTTACCTAGATGGTAGCTGAGTGGTTTGAATAAAATGCAAGACTAACGGTCATTTAACAGTCCCCTTGAGAGATCTGATGTGCAATTTGAAGAGGAGGCATTTAGCTTATTCGGATTTTCCGCAACAAAAAATGAGGCAAAAAGTGATTTAATTGTCATCTCAACACAGAGGGAGAGAGAGATGGGGGCAAGGTGAGAGGAGTGAGACGACAAGCGCGGTTCGACAGCCGAGGTAGTGGGTAGATGGCGAGGAGATATAACAAAAAACGAACAGGAACGCACTTATGTGACAAACAGGCGGTAATGTGAAAACACCGTGAGAGATCATATCTCGAATCCGCCTGTCATTTGACAGAGTCCTAGAGAAACCACGCCTACTCAAATCAACTCCCTCCATACCCCCCCCCCCCGCCCTGCCCACAAACATCTTTCTTCTATCCAAAATGGCCGTGTCTTACTGAATAAGTTTAGCTTTTTTCCCAACCCAAAATATATTTCCTATAAATCTCTAGTTGGAAAATCAGTGAACGGTGGGAATGCAACAAGACATGAATGATACTATAGGTAATTAATCTTCCTCACACAGTGAAAAAAAACGATAGGGTACATGATGCTCTAGAGATCATTAATTTGAATGTCTCTGTGATGAAGAAAGAAATAAAAAGGTTAGACAAAACTTGAGTCAAATTAACGGGCAGTAAAGCCGGAAATGAAGATGGTTGAATCACAACTCAATATTATTTACCTGGGGTGTGTGATAGACTTACCTCCACGTGGTGCACCCTGGGAAACGTATACTCATATGGCAAAAAAGTCTATTAACTGGCAGTTGACTTCCGACTTCAAAACACCATCACCTCACTGTATGTCATATTCGACTACTTCACAGTACTCACCTCACTTTTCACTCTACCTTTGTGTCTGTCTCTTTTACATTTTTGAAATACTCTTCTGTTCCCCCCCCCCTCTCGACTTTTTTTTTCACTTTGATGTTCCTTCTCTATGAAGCCTGAAGTCAACTAAAGGGCTTATGATAACTATCAAAATGCCTACCATTTGATATAAATAAATATTATTTATCTAGATATGGAGCAAAGAACTGTCTGGGATTAATGCAATCTTAAGTTTGGTAAGGTGTATAGCTATAAACAGAAGAGATAATGGTGCATAAACGGAACGAGGTCAGGTAACAATTTGTTTAAAGATGACATTAGCAAATATAGCCGTATGATCACAAGAAGCAAAATCATTACATTCACATTCAAAAGAAAATTCATAATTGGCTAAATAGGCTTTATTAAATTATTTCCTATCAAGAAGAATATATTCATTTTGCCCGTTTCCAAGTACTTTCACTTAGTAAACAAGATTAAGATAAAGGAAACAGTTACATTGTTTTCATAATTTAAATTATTCAGCTAAGAGACTGCCCTAATATTACAAATTGTGTCATTGATTAAAATGAAATCAGCTCAAACAAATTGTTCGATTTCTTTCTCCATTTCTAAAGCTCAATCTTCACAAACGTAGTTAGAACCAATTGGAAGCAAAGACCATGTGCAGCCATTATCATTATAGCGTCAAAACTGATAACAATTCATTTCTAGATTAAGTCATGCTACTATCAGTAAAATTCGAGGAAAAAAAACACATTTTGCGATGTTTTAAAATGAGAAAAACCTCAAGTGTCCTCTTTCACCTCAAGTTAAGTGCTGCATGAGAGAACAAAATTTTAAGCCCATTTTCCCGACTTACCTAAAAATTTTGAATTCAAATCAGGTTAATAAAAAGGTATAAAGACCTGAGGCCAATATAAGAGGCAAGACTGATCGATGAGCTCAATGAAAAAGTGGGTGGGGGGGGGGGAACCAAAAGAAAGAAGTGTTGAAAGCTCGTGGAAGGTAGAAGGCTGTAGTGCTTATATTCATCCAGATTAATCCATTGTTCTCCGTTAATGAAATATGTATCGAAAGATGCCGCAACGCAATCTCATAAAATAAAAACATGCATAGAATGTTTCATTAGGGAGAAAAGTAGCTTGAAGCGTGAAAAAAAATTGAAAGAAGAGGAAACTCTAGATAAACAGTTTTGTCTGAAGTGTCTCAGTGATATTTTTAAATTTATCTTGACCAATTATGTTGCCTGGATACGAAATTCACCAATGTGGTGATACTTTCGGACTCACAGTCAGCAATAAACTCAATTGGAAACAGAGAGCCACACAAAACAGCTGAGATAAACGAATGTAGAAAACTCTATCAGCTGCTGAGATAGAAAAACAAAACAGTGGTCCTACAATGGATTCCTGGTCACTGTTGAATTAAATGCAATGAGCTTGCTGACACACTTGCTAAGAAGGGGACAATGATTTTGCAATGCATGGACCGGCCGATGTCTTTCCACACAATGAAGGCCTTAATCAGAAGAGAATTCCAGACCTCAAGGTGCAACGAACTTAAAGCTCGAACAAAGGAGAAACAGTGGATAGTGGGCACTCTCCGACATAGCCGACTGGCCAAGAATTGAAGCCGTTGCTGAGTTTAGACTACGTATCGGACACGATTGCTTGGCAAAACATCTTCACAGATTGGGAGTATACACTCAACCCACATGCCCTCTATGTAACCTACAGGAGGAAATGGAGAAGACGCAACTGATTCGATGTCCAGCCCTAAAGACAACGACGGAAAGCCAGAGATACTGGGAAGCAAGAAGACGGCTAATGAACTGCTATTAATTAACTGCTATAAATGTTCCCCCCACCCTTGGGGGAAGCTAAAGTCAAAGTTTAAGGGCTAATGATAAATATCACAAAGCCAGCCATTTGAAATAATAATAATAATAATATTCATCCAGATTAATCCATTGTTCTCCGTTAATGAAATATGTATCGAAAGATGCCGCAACGCAATCTCATAAAATAAAAACATGCATAGAATGTTTCATTAGGGAGAAAAGTAGCTTGAAGCGTGAAAAAAAATTGAAAGAAGAGGAAACTCTAGATAAACAGTTTTGTCTGAAGTGTCTCAGTGACATTTTTAACTTTATCTTGGTGATTTGTCAAAAACTTATGCTGCCGGAAAGAAGAGTGATTTTGCCTGACTCTGAAGAAAGTTGTTTTTTCGGATAGTCTAAATAATTAACATTAACTCCCAATTAGAAGTGTGAAATTTCGTCTCAATTTAAATGGTTCTCAAGAAAATGACAGTAATATTTCTTGCGTTAAATTAGTGAGGAAGTAAGATTTGCAATCCTATGAACCAAATTCCTTAGGTTTTTAGCGAAATTATATGCCTGCCCGAATATTACAATGGACGTTACCTTTCTAGATCGTAAACATATGCAAAATATTGACCGCCAATTTGATTTCTTGAACTTTGGGGAGAGTGAACTACAGGGACGAGACTCGCCATTCACTGACAAACTGATAAGTAATCAAGAAGTTTGAATTTTTGAACGCGAACTACCACCTTGGTAAAAATCTAATAACCCGAGACTAAAATTCAAATGAAATGAAGCTCCTGGTGTTACATTGACTGAGAAGACAGTAACTAAGCTAGTCGGATCATAGTCGACAAACCGAGATACGAGTGGTTGGCTCTTCGGATTATCGATTTTATATCGACTTTCGAATTCAGATAGAAATATGACTAAGTTTCAAACCGTAGTAAATTGCAACGCTAACGTTTATGGTCAATTTTATATAACATTTCGGATTGTGCTGGGGTTACTAGCCTAATTAGCTCGCAGGTCCAAGATATTGAAAAGAATGCGACCACAAAAACGGATGGCAGAATGGAAGTTTCTTGAAGGAGCGGACCTAGAACACCTTTTCTCTACACAAATCAAGTATTGTTAGAATTTTACTTAATAGTCGTGGCAATAGTTAGCTAATTTTCGCAGTGGTCTAATTAACTTTCGCATACCTGTGCAAATAGAGATGGCCGACTATGGGGGAAACATTTTAAATATAATTAAGACTTTTAACAGTCTCCTGGGATTGAAAGCACTCACCCACGTGAAGTCAAAGGGGCAACCCCACCCCTAAAATCCTTTTCCCATCAACTGCCATAATGAGTAGGTGTGGAGATTCTAAAAGCAATGTCATTGCCATTAAATTTTAAAACGTACTCAAATAATTGAGCTCATTCTATGTACGGGACAAGTGGTGAGTAAACTGCCAGCCAATATCCACTTTACAAAGGTAGATTTCTTGTTCAAACTGTGGGACTTATTATTATTTCACCAAAGCAGGGCAAAAAACCTGATGAAATTGACAGTCATGGAACGATAAAGGAGTCCATTATGGAATGAAGCGGAAGTGAAAAGCTTAGTCAGTGAAAGCCCTACTTAGTTGATTCAAAGAAGGTATGGGGTGTCCATATTCTCATATTCTGGCAATTTATTACTTATTACAGCCGATAGTAGTAGTAGAGTAAGTTAATTCGGATTTTCCTGACTGATACTATACTAGGACAACTTAACACTGTAAACCGCATACCTATATAAACTTTTGTTATTAGCATTTTGACCTATTGCAAAAAATAGGTTTAAACGACAAGACCGAACACAATATGCATTGAGCATCGCAAACAGTCAATCTGTTGCAACTCAGGGAGCACAAATCGATAAATTTACATAGGGGAAATTGAACTACTCAGTGGTTGAATATTGGACAACTCGAGGTAGAGAAAATCAAAGTAAACCGTGATAGTGCTCTCCGTATCTGATTGATTCCACTCACTCTATTCTTCCTTGGTTTTGTTTATATTCGATACGAGATGTTTCCAACATTTCAAATTGTAGCTTTGTGGATAATAACAATAATAATAGTGCAATGTAATGTGGACATTATGTAATTAATAAGTTGTCTTTGGGGTATTGCACTATCGAATTCGTCCTCGTTCACACCATCGAATCTGTCAACTCTGCACCTAGACATAACTTTGAAAGATTATGATCCATAGCTGAGTCAGATGGGAACGAAGACTCGGACCAATAATAAGTTAATTAAAATTTGATTAACTGGTCAATGATTTCTGCAATCAATAGCTCACAATATTTAATGCTATTAAAACAAAACCTACTTTACTTATATGCCAGAATTAAGTAGTATATATACGCTATGAACATGACATTAGATCTAAAATAGAAAAGTGAACGAATTTTGTCTTAAATATGGGTGGTCCAAACTAGCGCGCTGTAAAGGGAAAAACCATTTGAATTTTACCGATGTTGCACAAAATATCGAACGAATGAAGAGCGAACAAGATTGTACAAACGTTAGATTGATCATTTTGCCATTATATTTTAAAACAAGTAATTTATTTCAGTTACTAAAGGGGTTTGTACTGATATGCCTGATTAAAGAGATATACGTCGTAAGCGTAAATATAACAAGGAATTCCCCATAACTTGCCCCTTTATAGAAAAGCACGACAAACCTGTGACCTCTAGTGACCACATTGACCTCGTAAATACAATGTTCCAGAATGAGTATAAAGCAGCTTATGGGGAGATAAGGGGGGGTGGGTGGGAGGCACAGCCAACACGTTCAAACCAATCATGTCCTCGATAAACTGCTCGTACCTTAAAGGCGGCTTATGACAATTTTCCAATTGGTCCGTCGAAAAATGAAAAAATTCTGAGCTTAACTTAACAATTTCTCAATAAAGTGGCAAGAAAAGACCTTCTAGATGAAGATCTGCACACTATTTGAATTCTACCCAAGTGCAAGCTTTGTTTCCTCCAACTTTTTACCTTACACAGTCACCAGCTTAGAGGTTTAAAAACACTCAGTTTTCCCAAAATCTCTCTTTTGGCTTGATTGAAAACAGTTAAGAAAAAAAATAGCTGACAAAGGTACTTGTGACGGCTTAATGTGCCTTTTAGTTACTAAGTCGGTGCACATGTTACTACAAGTTTATTTCAATGATTCATACTTTGAGGGGGCCTCGCGCTTAAACCCTCCTCGAATCGTTGAAATTGACAAAGGGGGAAAATGTTTCAACTATGACAACTCATTAAGAATACGAGACAAGTGTGCGTTTACTAAGTGGCAGTTATATTTGGGAGTCACTAAAATTAGATGATTAAATGGTGCTACAAAACGCGTAAGTCTGACAGTAACAGCGATAAATAGTGTGAAGTGGAGATAATGAAAAGAACTCATTTCATCCACCATATATACAAAGAAACCAAGGCCCTTTTTTCGCGAAATTCTAAGAGCCCCAAATTTTAGTCATTATCGGTTGAATATGAAGTCTTCAATGCTACTTACTGTCATATTTCAGAGCAATACGTGACAAGTAAGTGTCTGACAATTCATTCAAAAATTAGCCGATGTCTCCCACACTGAACTAAGAAAGGTTTTAATTTTGATTGGGACAATAATTAGAGGTATAAAAAGCAGTTATTGCTAGTTGGGTATAAATTTCCCCTTGTCAAGATGAGAAATGATGACAGGCCACAATAATTTTGATAAGTGGGAAAAGCAAAGAGTAGGCATTTGGTCTTCCACTGGCTGACTGTTACTGCCCTCATCACTGCGTTCTAGGGAATTGTGGACGGCTTGAAATTACATGGAAAATACCGAAAAGATAAATCTGAAATTTGATCAAATATGTTTTTTTTCTCTCCTGGAAAGAACACTCAGAGATTACAGTACAAGATACTAAGAGGGGCATATTTTTCACTTCTGGCTTATGCACCCTGAAAAGACAGGCTCCGTGTGCACCGTGGATTTTGACACATGAATTATTAGAATCTTGATTGTAATTTGAGAAATTTTCGAAAACATTTATGCCCCCCCCCCCCACTAGCGACTTAAATATACCATTAAGAAATAAAAAGTTATCGGTGTTTTTTGCCCAACACTTTAAGGATATTGAAAAAGAAAAGAATTTTCATAGCTAATTTAAAGCGAATAAATGCCAATGTCAGAAGCCCAGTTTAAGCGGTTAGATGAATACCATTTAGTAGTGAACCGTGAAACGACATGGATGGTTTCCGTACTCGGGCACTGTCACGGCTAATTGAGCATGAATGACCTCTCCATGTCGTCAGATGCGTCACAAAGATGGCTGACACTGGCGCAAAATAATAGCATGGCGTGAACTATTCTTCTGGGGGTTTCCAATAGGTTCAAACTGATTAATTTCCCGTCTGGAGAACTCGAATATGGGCGATGGGCCTTGTTCACTCGCATTTCTTTAAATGGGAACTTCGAAAATCAGGTAAAGTTTTATTTTTCGAAATAAAACAGAAAAGGCATACTTTTAATTCAATGGCAGTTCAATTAACTAAATCTTACTGAAATTCCTTACAAAGCAATCGTGAGATCATTATTTGCCCTTGAAATTGATTTTAAAAGCAACAAATAAGTTTTAAGTAAACGAAAAACCACCAAATAACAACGAGAAAACAATAAATTGAAAGCAAAATTAATGTCGATTTCATTATTTTTATAACATTTCAGTTGGATTGTAGATTTGTTATCAAATGAAGAGCTCACATCCCAAAATTGAAACATCTAAAGCCGTTCTCTAGAATGCAGGAAATGCTGGTTGACGATGTTCAGTATTTATTTATATCGTTTTTGAATCAAGGAGAATCTTAAACCCCCCAATTCATTATTTTCCCAATGGTTGAGAGAGCAAATTATCTTACATGATATTCCGCAGTTTACAATTTTGACGTAGCAGAGATGAAAGATAACAAATTTTTGTTAAGTAGAACTCGCTTCGTTGTGTTTGACTAAGGTGAACTTTTAGGTCGTTTTTGGATGAAAATTTTATATAGCATTGGACGAAATCCTATTCGGACAAAAGGAGCGCTTAAACTAATTGAGCAAAATGGTGGAATAGTTGACAGACAATCTCAGGTAGGAAACAGGAAGAGGATGACTCCTGAGAACGCATTAAGTCCAAATCACTATCGTTCCCACACTCATTGTGTGGAAGCGAGTCAAAGCGTATATAACGACAAAAACAAGCAACATATATACAATGAGAGATAGAGAGGAATTTAAATAAACACCCACTTCATAATAATTAAACAGCTCTCAGGGGCAATGATTAAATAGTCGATTCAACCCTCGTTTTCAGTTAAATCAATTGAAAAAAAGAATACAAACTTACAGAAAAGACTGGAGAATGGTCATTCTCATCCTTAATATCCACGTAAACTTGTCTTGTCGTCGGTACTAAGTCACCTCGTTGCCCGGCGGTGACAGCAACGTCTAGACGTAGACTGCATATCGAGCCAGCCTCCCCGTTATCAGCTCGACGAAGGGTACTCAAACGGGAATTTTGTGTATTTTGAGCACAACAAAGTCCGGACTCCGGACACAACACATCGCGATCAACTGCTCGACGAGTAATCAAACTTCCGGTATGCGGATCAATTCGAAAGTAGCCACTTACAGGACTATTTAGTAGTGCATAAGTCACTGCGCCCATAGCATCTCCGAGGACATTTTCCGCCACTACATAATCTTTTGGCGTGTTGTCTCCCAGACTAATCGATTGTTGAGAGAGCACTATTGTAACATTGATTATCAGAACTATTGCCAAGTTTGCCAGAGCAATCGAAGTTTTAACCTGATGATAAAACATTTTGAGGAAGCTAAAATTGAAAAGAAACAGCATTGAATAGTAATGTAAAGTGTCAGATGTTTTTTGGTGAATTACAAAAATTTTGGCGTAAAAAATTGGCCTTTTCATATTCACTCGAAATGCATTCAGAAATGTACCAAATTTCGATCACGCAAAAAACATTCCCATCAAATCCCATCCGCCTTTTGATGACTAAATGGGTTAATTCTAAAAGCCGTTTTAAACTTTTTTCATAAATTATATAAAGCATTAGCGGTGATTATGCATTACGCACCAGTTTGTTCAAACCTTTAGAAACTGATTAATGATCATTGAAGCAACAGAAGAAAATCGATATCTAATGACTAATTATTGCACGTTTATTGAGCAAATCAATATAGCTATTAGAAAAAAGCTACACCGAAGACGTGAGATGAAAAGAAGATATCAGGACACCATTAATTGAAATGAGGCAATATATAGAAATTTGGGCAGGGTAGACATGATATCAAAAGCATTCCCTAGAAATAAGTTAAAAAAGCGAAGTTTTGAATGAAATTTAGTTCAAAGCCTATTAAAGTGACTTATCCCAACAAATGCCATTAATATTACGACCGAAAGCTTGCATTCTGTTTCAAATTTTATTTAACGCGAACTGCCAACTTAGTCCGTGATTTTTACTGCCATTTTATGATAATGATGACAGAACTTTAAATTTCCACTCTTGAGAGGCATTCACGATGTTACTTTTGTTTGCAAAAGGAGTTTGGAGTTTCCCCATAAGAAAGCCACCCGGGCCTCTTATTGTAAAGGTATATTTTACGAAGTCAAGACGTTAAGGAAACCTTGAATTTGATAGGGACGCCGCAGGTTAAGCAGTAGTCGATACCATTAAAGTCCAAACTCAGGGGAATTCGAGTGAAAACGATGAAGTTAAAAGCTGTCCCCCTACTTGGAAATACCCACGCAAAGAAAAGTTACTCTTAAAAGATCGATGGGTTACCACACAGGAGTAGGAGCTAGCAACGGGCAATGAGAGTTCTCAAAGCTGAGCACAAAAGTCGTGATGAGGGTAAGAGAAAAATGAAGGGGGAAAGTAGGAGCCGATAAATGACAAGCATGTCTGCGTGCGTGACTGTGTTTAAACAAGGTGATTTATCTAGTTTCATAGAGTAGATTTAGTAAAAACAGGAAAAGTAATTCAGGATATCGAGGATCAGGGAAAGCCACTCAAGAGTCATTCAGAGATCACTTACTTAGATGATTAAAATAAGCCTCTTGAAAATGCACTACGTTTCTCAACGAGGAACTTGAGGTCACAGCAGGTTTGAACACCACTGTGGGGTCGAGATAATGAGATTTCGGGGACTAGTGATGGGCTAGATAAAGATTTTGGCAGTGCATAGATTCAGCTATCAAAAGAATTGCAGTACCCTCTTTTCGGTTGCTTTAAGTCTTATAAATGGCAGGGTTGGTTGAAATTCCACTTATCGTTATGTCATTTTCAACCTTGACATCAAACTTGGTGAATGGACATCTTTAAAATACCATTTGAAAATACAATAGTTATGCATCCGCCTGTTCAAATACTAAGATGAACACTACTGGCTATTATTAAGCAGATCCATATACATCCTGATTTGGAGAAGTTAATAAAGCTAGACGATCATGTCTATCCCATTGTAATAGCTCTAAAAGAAACAATGATTTCGAACATTTTTTGGTTCTGGAGAATCATAGCTAAGTGCAGCTATTTTTTTACAGTATACGAACTTCCTTATCAGATTAAGCCTAGACTGTGATGACAATTGCTTTGGGTTTATTGTGATCACAGACAATAAACGCCTTCTTTAAACAATGAATCAGTCTCTTAAATGCACTTAAACGACTCTTGCTATTATCTTAATGCTCATTTGCGAGTGGACAAGAAAGGAGAGTGGAAACTACCTGCCAATTAACGGCCCCTAATGCCATATCAGGCAGAGGGGGGG